AACGCCAATATTTTGAAGAAATTGAAAAATTCTGAAATTCATACAGGAAGCATCTAAATGCAGAAGCATCATCTGATCCCTCACTGGCCATCAGCGATCATCGACGCGAGCTAAAAGCATTACAAACTCACAATGTCACTCCAATCTGAGTGGAAGTGATTGGCGAGCCTCCAAATGCACCTGTAAATCCGTTGCATCTGTCCACGGTCTCCCTGCTCCGTCCAGAGGTGTCCTTCGCCAAACCCTCCACCATTCACTTTGCGGCCGCCACTTGACCTTCTCGCCGAGTTTGTCTTATCACGCCGCTGCTACAACATCAGAACATGCCAGGAATGCCAATGACATTAAGATCCTATCCAGGAAACGACCCCACATCCAGGATCGACTCCACAATATGTCAAAGCTCTTCTGCTATCAGAGCTCTGAAACAACTGTTGTTATCGTCTGCAAACTTCAAACACTGTGTGCTTGGGTTGAGAGTACATGAAAGGGTTTCTAAAAAGTAGATACAGAGCAATATCAGAGTTTCTGTGGTGAATTAGAGGCGAGGCAGACGCTTCGTCACGTGTGAGGACGTCTAACGCGGAGACACACAAGATGGCTTATGGGGTGTGAAATTATCTGATGTGATTGAAATCTTGCCTCTGTCAAAGATTAACCCTTGTCAGTGTCTCACATATACGTTCTTATCGCTCATCGCAAAGCGGCAATGCAAAACCACCGCTGGGCAGGTCTCTGTGAGAAGTATCCTTGAGCTGTCAGTTTGATCTCCAGCTGTCCTTAAAGGAACAGTTCACCCAAAAATGAAAATTTGCCTGAACTTTACTCTCACGCCATCCAAGATGTAGATGAGTTTGTTTCTTCATCAGAACAGATTTGAAGAAATTTAACATTAAATCATTTGCTCACCAGTGGATCCTCTGCAGTGAATGGGTGCCGTCAGAATGAGAGTCCAAACAGCTGATAAAAACAAATCCAGCTGATAAAAAGTAATCCATACCACTCCAGTCCATCAATTAATGTCTTGTGAAGTGAAAAGCTGCAAGTTTGTAACAAACACATCCATCATTAAGAAGTTTTCTGGCCAAAATACAAATCAATAATCCATAATAACACTTTGCCTCCAGTGAAAATGTCCATCCCCTGTTGTTCTCTCTTTTCAAAATCCTCCCACATATTAGTTTAGAACTGTTTGTACTTGTAAATGGTGCTTGATCTGTGCCTATTTCTCTCCTGATTAACGATTTTTTCACTGGAGAAAGCAATATTATGAATAGAGGACTTGTATTTTACCTGGAAGCAACAGTTTGAAGATAAAACGTGTTAATGATGGATTTGTTTCTTACAAACATACAGCTTTTCTCTTCGCTAGACATTCATTGTTGGACTGGAGTCGTGTGAATTACTTGTGGATTACTGTGATGTTTTCATCAGCTGTTTGGACTCTCATTCTGACGGCACCCATTCACTGCAGAGGATCCACTGGTGAGCAAGTTATGTAATGCTACATTTCTCCAAATCTCTTCATTTTTGGATGAACTATTCCTTTAAATCTTTCATTATGGTCATAAGACTACCAGTCCAGTTCACCTAGTCAGTGTTTTCAAAGCCAAATATCAGTATTTCTCGCTTTAGATGTGACTATTTTCACTTTTAAAAGCATTAGAGTCCATGTCTGTGTTTTGTAGAGAAATGCTTCTCTGCTCAGCTGACTGGGCTAAGCATTTCTTCAACTGGATATTCCCAAATCCGTGCTTACAAAATATGCTTTTGTCTAGTACAGCATGAAATCTCTGGCAATACGTTCAGCTTGAGATTCCCAGCTGAATTCACATTAAGACGAACTAAAGCTGATTACATCCACAATGTGCTTTTATCAGCTGTTTGAGCTCTCATTCTGACGGCACCCATTCACTGCAGAGGATCCACTGGTGAGCAAGTTATGTAATGCTACATTTCTCCAAATCTCTTCATTTTTGGATGAACTATTCCTTTAAATCTTTCATTATGGTCATAAGACTACCAGTCCAGTTCACCTAGTCAGTGTTTTCAAAGCCAAATATCAGTATTTCTCGCTTTAGATGTGACTATTTTCACTTTTAAAAGCATTAGAGTCCATGTCTGTGTTTTGTAGAGAAATGCTTCTCTGCTCAGCTGACTGGGCTAAGCATTTCTTCAACTGGATATTCCCAAATCCGTGCTTACAAAATATGCTTTTGTCTAGTACAGCATGAAATCTCTGGCAATACGTTCAGCTTGAGATTCCCAGCTGAATTCACATTAAGACGAACTAAAGCTGATTACATCCACAATGCTAATAAAACTTCTCATACAAATTTGCATGCCTTACAAAAAATGACCACGGTAGTGCAAACTGTTACTACACTTATTTGTACTACGATGTGGAAACGTGATATTATCCACCCAAAAAATTTAAATTAATTAATTAATAACAGAATGCAAACAACTACTCATATAAAAAATTACAATTATAAATTACAATTTGCAACATCATTCTAGGTTGTATGTCCCTGATTAGTGCCTCTTGCTTAAAAGACATACAAAGTTGCATGTCAAGACAAAAACACTGCTGCTGCTGCTGTTACAGGCAAACACGTTTGAATTTAAAATGTCCATTTGAAATCTTTTGTCAAGCATGTCTAGTGGTCTAAAGATCTCCTGACTCAATTATGGTGAAGACTGAAGAAAATTTGCAGGAGGATTATTATTGAAATCACATCTGTCAGCTTTACAGTAATATTCAGTACAGCTCTTATGCTTGTGTCCATTATAATGGAAAAATCCCGTGTAAGACATGTAACTGTAATATGATACGACTTCACCTCACATTAAACCTGTCAAACTATTATTATACTACACTTATGCCATATGTTTCTGAATTGTGCCACAGTTTCAAATGAATATTTGTGACATTGCATCCACTGATTCCATTTAGTTATTCTTCAGGATTTGGGTGGTACAAAATGGCAAGATCCATAAAAATTGGACACGGGGTCACTGAAAGAACCATGTTGAATGTATGATTCGTTTACGAATCAGACATCACTATGCAGCCCATTTGAGCAGTTCATTGAAAATAATTGACTCCAAATAGTGATTTATTCACAAATCAAGCATAGCTAACTTTGATTCTAAGCAGCCAGCAGAAAATATGGGACACTCACAACATGATTAATGAAATACTGTCTAGAATAATGTTTCTTAGGTACAATATATACAGTAAATGCTCTCATCAGACAAGAAATAAACCAGTCAAATTTGATTAAATTGGCTTGGTAAATGGGTTGACTGGCAATGACCACAGGAGCCATGAACTGCGGGAACAACGACAGTAGAAAGAATCTATGGTGTTGAGGTGGAAACAACAGTTACCATGGTAAGAAAAACCAAGGCTACAGTTTTCAATGCAGAAACCATTTCTCACAGTAAGTTTAAGTCAATTGCTGTAGCCCCATATCTTGTAGAAACAGCTTTTTTCCCATGGGCTTCATATTGTATGTGTTCAGAAGGCTTTTCAGCAAAATTAAACTGTAAAACAGCAAAAAATGCAAAGGATAGTACACAAAAGTGGCCAACAGAAATATAATTTTTCCTCAAATTCCATCACAAAGAGCTAACAACTTAACTACGATCTACATTACACGGTCATTGCCGGTCAACCCATTTACCAAGCCAATTTCATCAAATTTTACTGATTTATTTCTTGTCTGATGAGAGCGATTACTGTATATTGTACCTAAGAAAAAATATTCTAGACCGTATTTCATAAATCATGTTGTGAGTGTCATTTTCAGCTGGCTGCTTAGAATCAAAGCTAGAGATGCATGATTTGTGAATGAATCACTGTTTTGAGTCGATTCTTTTCAATTAATGTACAAATACATTGAACTTCACAACATCTCTGCATGTTTACTGGTCGAACATTATGTGTCTTACTCAAACTTTTTTATAAGCTTTAAATATCCTGGAAGATACAGACATTTGAGAGTCAGAAGGGAGAGACAGAAAATAAAATATATGAAGAAAATATTTCAAGATACGCTGACCTTGTAAATCTTGCAGCATACATTATTTTCATGGGAGATTAAAAACTATTAAACTGTAAATAGCAATCGATATTTTGCATACAGCACTGATGTGTACTGCTATTGTAAAAACCCACAAGAAATTCCCAAGGGTACTCAAGACGAATTAGCCTTCCGGGTTGGTCTACAAATTGACGTCATATGGCCATAAATTAAGGTTTTTTAAGCTCCTGACATTCAAGGGTTAAAGTAAAGGCTTTTATTTAATTTATTTCCGCACTGGCACCTAGCATCAGAAATTACTGCTTAATTATTAATTGACGTCTTGCAAAAACACGACTGTTTTTCTGCCACAGTGTCTCTTGCAAATAAATCAAATGTCAGGACTCTGTCTGTGCACACACATCACAACTGACCATCGTAATTTTACCACCTGACAAATCTCGTGGCGCGCAACAGGAGGGGGCAGAGGCCAACGCATGTCCGTTTCCCGTCGTCCTCATAATGACCATCCTCACTTCTCTCACTATTGCATATGAAAAGTGTGCTTTTGATACATGTGTGTCAGATGCAATCGATAAGACGAACAATAAACGCACGCGCAGACACCCTATCATGACTATGTGATGAGAGATGATGACCTTGCGCGTGCATAGATGACAACTCCCTCAAAGGCACCGGGGTAAATGCTTTTACCTTCGCAGTACGCAACACAACAGGTGCTGTGAATGTGTGAAAACGCGAACGAACGCTTATAGAGAAACCTGGCTGCACCTGTTTGCGCGTTCGGCGAGTGACAGTTTGCAGTTGAGGACAAATTGAAGCCAAATCCAGTCGAAATGACACGGTACTGACCCGTACGCGAGCGGTACCGGGTGCCGCCACAACGTCTGCCGTTCAAGGGCGGGCGTTCTCGCTGAAAACAAACGAGAGGAATCCACCAAAGTAGCTCACCTTTTCCGTCCTCGTTCTCCCGATTCAGGTGCATGGCTGTTCGCCTTTGGCACGCCAACAAACGCTTGTTTCTTCTCTCAAGTCCCCTCCAAGAAAAAGTCGAATCCAAAATGCGCTCTCGAGCTTCCAATGGGCGAGTGACCATGGAGCACCGCTCCCTGCTTATTTCTTTCTTTCACTCACTTGGTTTTTCTTTCCCTGTCCCCTCATTCGGCTGATGTCGGGAGATGGCAGTGAGAGGGTTTGAAGGGAGGGATGAGGGTGAGGAGTGGTGAGCTGTGTGTCCGTGTCACCGCCAGCTGATGGCACATCTCAGTTTATGTGGGTGAAGTCGCGTAAAACGGGACGCGTTTTGGTCAGTCACCGAGAGCGCGGTTAAAACAGCTCTGCAGGCTGCAGCTCTCGGGTTTATTGAAGCATTATATCTTGAAAATGTCACAAAAGAAACTATTTAAGCCCGAGCCATTTAAATGTCAGATGTCACGGGGTCAAGATAAAACGAGCCAATGAATATGGACCGCAAAATCATAATTGTAAGTACATTTTTTTTTTTAATCATAAAGGTAAGTAAATGCACTTATTTTAATATGGCATCAAAATAAATGTTAAAATGTTTGTGTATGTGCATATATTTGGATACTGTATTCATGCAATATAAAGACCACATGTGCAATCTTGAATTTTCAAGAAAATCGTCAAATTGTATAGATTCTTTAAGTGTTCCATTTTAGCTGATAAAATGGAACAGCAAATAAAAGTTTTACCATCCAGCATCTGTAGCCCTGCCCACTTTAGCAAACTCGTCATTGGCCTCTGCATTAGCCAGCATGATTAGCCCTGCCCACTTTAGCAAACTCAGACCAATCAAATCAATTGATACATGTCAAGCATTAGTAATATGGTCGCGTCGCTTCCGGGTCGTATGCTGCGTTAAATAGAGCTGTTTTACTCAAGATACCTTCAAAGGAGATACCGAAGAGTATCATAACCGATCTTTATCACAGGCCCTATTGTGTGAAGATTGCTTTTAGTTAAAAGTTAGTTATTGCTTTTAGTTAGTTTCTTCTCACTATCACTTTGATATTAAAATTGCTAATTAAAACTAGCTAGGTTATCTTAAAAATCCATAGATAATGCCATTAGTTCATAGTGCTGTTAATAATTTCTCTGACAAGTGGATGCCTGTTTTCTGGTTTGGTCAGGTGACATTCGACATATAGGCCTACTGTTTCCCACTGGCAAATGTTTCCAAGAGTTTGCGATAATACACTACAGTGATGACGTATTTTTGTAGGCCAAACCAGAATTTCGGATCACCCTGGTTCCCTCGACAAAAACAGGATTTTTCCATTGGCTTTTGGATTATTGAAGAAAATAAGCTCGGTGACTGATAAATGTTTATGATTCTTGCATGTTTTGTTCACCAGGATAATCTTCACAAATTAACAACACGGCATTCCTGGATTTTGAAGATTCAATACAAACAGATGTAAAAAGCTATAATCAAACTACACCACAGATGCATATGGCCTCAATGTCACCACCATTAAGCTTCTGACAACTCTTTCAGCCTTATTAAAAAAAATAGAAAAATCCCTGAAATTATTAGTTAGAATAGTTTGCAAGAGCATGATTATAAACACAATATCATTGTCAAAAAACACTGACAATGTAACCAGAAGAGTTAAGCGCTAACTCGTTTCTGGGCCTACAAAATACATAATTCCTGCAGCAGTCCAAGAACTCCAACCTTTGAACATTTGTGTCTATGTTTTGTCTTTTGCACTTGCTTGCTTTCTCGTAATCTCTCATTTGCTGCACGTGTGTTGCCTCTATATTTTTAACATATTTGAGGAAGATGATGAAGAACTTCTTGGCTTTAGTTGGTGGTGTGTGTTCTTGTGGAATGCAAGTGTGTTGTAAGAATACATTCCTGGTCATACTACGTATATGTTGTACATGTATCTTTTACCCATATATTCTTTAAACTGTGACTTGACATTTATGCATTTGGCAGATGCTTTTATCCAAAGTGGCTTACATTGTATAGTTCCCTCAGAATCAGGCCCATAACCCTGATGCTGCCAGGCTCATGTTTGTTAGCTATGTTGTATTTTCCAATCTATCTGCCAGGTCAGTCGCTGTTTTGTATTCATTCCTGATGTATCTCTCTTTTTATATTTCAAGTTTGCAGCTGAACCACATTTATGCTGCTTTTAAGGGGGGTTTATAAAAATCGTTCATGCATAGTTGTAGCCTTGATCTAAGACACTTGGACTCTTTTTATATTTGTCCATTTTATCACACTTTAAGGGAGTAGTTCACCCAAAAATGAACATTTGTTGAAAACATACTCAGCCTCAGGCCACCCAAAATGTAGATGAGTTTGTTTCTTCAGAACAACAGATTTGGAGAAATTTAGCATTACACCTACTCACCGATGGATCCTCTGCAGTGAATGGGTGCCGTCAGAATGAGAGTCCAAACAGCTGATAAAAACATCACAATAATTCAATATTTTACATCACAATTTCTCTCCTAATTCAAACGAAATAACTTTTTCATTGGACAAAGCAATATTATGTATAGAGGACTTGTGTTTTAGCCAGAAGCAACTGTTTAAAGTTAAAACATCTTAATGATGGAGTTGTTTCTTACAAACACGCAGATTTTCGCTTCACAAGACACTTATTGATGGACTGGAGTGGTGTGGATTACCTGTAGATTATCATGATGTTTTTATCAACTGTTTGGTCTCTCATTCTGACGGCACCCATTCACTGCAGAGAATCCATTGGTGAGCAAGTTCAATAAATATTAGCATTTATTAATATAAATCAGAATTAACCATTCTGAATTAATGGTTACAAGCCAAATAATATAGTTCATATGCATCTACAGATTTGAGTTTATCTGCATTTTGTAGCACAGTTTGTAGTGGTTTGACAGTATAGCGGCAGTTTTATGATGCCAATATTAAGTGACATTTGAAACCTTACCTAGAAAGCTTATCAATTTGGTCTTCACTGCATGTAATTAGCCAGTGTTTTGCCATTCCTGCTGATTTTCGCAAGCTATTTAGCATCTCTACTTGATGTTGGATGATTGACAGCTGATTGTGCTAATTATACCTTCTGATGCGCTGATGACAGCATTACCTGCACCCCACAGAGTTCCATCATACTCGGCGTGTTCTCTAAACATTCAGAAATGTCTGCTTTTATGAAGTCAGACTCATCTGGGATCACACTACATCGTGTGTCTCCTGAGACGATCTGTTTTCCCAGCTGGTGGAACAGCACAACAATCCAATTGACTCTCAGCTCACGGCTGCAGGTTCAGATCCTCCAATGAAACCCAGTGATACTGACGCCCCCTAGAGGACCTTCACTAGAGTTGCTTTAGAATTCTAATGGAGAGGAAACAACAGCCTGTCAAGCAGCTGCCATGCTGCAGCTTCAGTCTGAGTGTTTTTGTATGAAGGTAATGCCTAAAGAAATGTTTCAGACTGGCTTCCAAAACAGCATAACATTGTGTCTAATGGTCTAGACAAAACTCAAGTAAGATTTAGATATACCAAGCCACATATTTAATGATTACAATGATTATTTTTGCAGTAAAAATGGAATCATGCCTTAAAAAATGTAAAAAGTGCATTATGCAGGGTGTGAATCAGTGTTATTTTTGTTAGATACTGTTACGGTTGTAATTAAATTTTTATATATATTTTTTATTACATATGTTCAATTTGTATTTTTTTTATTTATTTGTTTATTTATTTTTGTTTTAAAATGTCTATATAGTTTTTATTAATTTCATGCCTTAAAAAAATATTTATGCTGGGTGTGAATCGATTATTTTACTCTCATTAAGGTACTATTACAGTTTTTATTAATATTTTAAATTAACATTTATATTTTCCATAGTCATTTTAAATTTTAAAATGTTAGTAAATTTGTTGTTTTTGCATTATGCCTGTCTTTTATTAATTGTTTGCCTTAAAAATGTAAAAAGGACATTTATGCAAGGTGTGAATCTGTATTCTAGTATACTTTTTATTGATATTTTGAATTAGTGTTTGTATTTGTTATCATTTTGTTATTTTTGTCATTTTTAAGAGTTTTTTTTTACTTTTTTTTTTTTTTTTACTAATTTTACAAATTTCATGCTTAAAAAATTAAAAAGGGTGTAATATTGTCATGTTTTGTCATTTTTATAATTCTTTTAAATATTTCTATATAGTTTATATTACTTTTATTTTAGTTTTAGATTTACTTATTTTTGTACATCAAGTTAAACTAAATGCAAATGAGAAATGTTGCCTTGGCATCTAGCTGATATAAAAAAAATATCTATATTTCGTTTCAGTGAACTTCAAATTCAATTAAAATGAATTTTTTTTGAAGGTTAAGACAATTTGCGTTCTGTAAGATGGACCTCAACAGACTGCACTCCTAAAATGATGTAAAAATCCTTCAAAACCCAGCTAAAAATCATTTTATAATTAGCACATTTCTTTTACTGTATAAATTAATTTAATTCTTTCAACCACTGCATCGTCAGATGCCATTTCTATTCTTTCTATCAGCTGCCAAACTGTATGCACAGGATTGTGGGAGATCACAGATGCAGCGATGCTGCTTTGAAAAACCGGCCAGTGAAGGCAGAATGATAAACACTGGACTCAGACGTGCCTTACAGCCCTCCTACCTGCGAAGGCAGCATTTTTCTGGTTTCAGACAGTATGTCTAGATCAGAAGAAACAAAATGTAATCATTTATGTGGAGTCTGAGATTCTTGTGCAAAAACACAGACTCAATGAGAAGAATGTTGACTATCCTTTTAGGTCAAGTTTTAGTAATTGTTCTGTTTTTTTTTGTTTTTTTCTTGATTATTTTTCTAAATTTTAATTTGTACATTTTGTAAACTTTAGTCATTTTGTCATGTTTTTGTCTTTTATTATTATTATTATTTTTAATATTTTTAATTAGTTTTCATTTTTATATTTTCCATTCTAGTTTAAGTTTTAGTCATTTTGTCATGTTTTTTTATTAGTTTTTTTTTTTTTTTAAAGGACATTTATGCTTGGTGTAAATCAGTGTTATTTTAGTATAACTGAGATACTATCAGAGCTTTTATTAATATTTTGAATTATTTTTTATTTTTATATTTTTCATTTTAGTTCAAGTTTTAGAAATTGTGTAGATGTGTGTGTCATTTTTATTAGTTATTGTTTATTTTAAATGTCTATATACTTTTTATTAATTTCATGCTTTAAAAAATTAAAAAGGACATTTATGGTGGGTATGAATCAGTGTTATTTTAGTGAGTTTTTTTTTTTTTTAGTATAATTAAGATATCATAGTTTTTTATAATATTTTGAATGAGATTTTATTTTTATTTTCCATTTTCATTTTAGTTCAC